CACCAAATATTGCCACCATTATCCATAGGCAGTTTCCTTCTATTTGAGCTTCAGTTTGAAATAAGGAGAGTGGAGTGGTTTTGTGCATTGCTTCCAGAGCATGATGTAATTAGCCAACTTTGCAGGTGCTTTCATTTAAAAAGTAGACTTCTGATCAACCCACTGAGATTACACAGCTCCACTGCAGTTATCATTCCCTCTCCCCAGATTCATTCCTTTTTTCTTTTCCCAGTGGAGATGATTTCGGGTTCCCCATGACAATCCTTCCAAAACCACAAAAGCACAGAGGCAGGAGAGAGGTCAGGAGCAGTGATGTTTTTTCAGTGTTCAATTGACATCTGTAATGTGCTTTCAGATCGATAGGGACTGTTTCCTCCCAGAATGTACAGGGAGTCTCTAAAAATAATCCTTTTACTTTGTGAAATGTGGTAAGTGGCAATATTCCTTCGGGTTGGCTTTTGTGTCAGAAACATTTGGGAACCATTAAAGTTCCATGTAATGTGAGCGAGTTCATCTGGGCTCCTAACTTGGGCTGATTTGCAGAGTTCACATTGTAGCTTTGACAGAGAGCTCTTGGCATTTGGTTGTCTGATGTTGAATATTACCCCAGAATGATGAATTTTAATAATCCTAGTTTGTACTCCTATCGACCTATGTAATTAAGCTCCCCCATCCAGTTTGGAGAACACAGATGGCCCATGCCACAGTGACCATGATGTTCCCCCTTGTCCCTCACTGATGCTCCAAAAGATAGATGCAGGCAGCCACTGAGCCCTACTTTCCCTTCAAATCCCCAGACTGAAACGGGAAGCGGGGCATTCTTCTGTATCATGGGTTCTGCTCTAGGTACATGTGTCATGAGTGAGGCAAGCATCCCAGAGCTGTGTATGGGTTCATGGGGCCCCGCCTATCGGTGCAGAGATTTCATTCAGCCCCAGTTAGAGTGTAAAATCCTCTCCCAGCCCACGCCCAATTTTGCTCCAGGGTCTTCTCCACCCAACCTCAGTAACTCCAACTTGCTGTCTAGGACAGATATCCCTTGCAGCTTGACCATGCAGAGGCTGCAGGAATGGGGTCTATCACACTTCTCCATAGCACTTGGGAGTCTAGAGCAGAAAACCCTGCTTCCCACCAGTCTCCAGGGCCAGCTTGAGGGTGTGATGTAAGCAAGAGCAGACAAGGGATTTGTCGGCTGCTTGGCTTACCTCCTGGTGAGGGATTCTGTGGTCAGTTTGATCCCTGTTTGATCTGTACCCTCTTAGACCTCTTTGACTATAGTTTAGCATTTTCCTCTTCACTTCACTCCCCCAGCCTGGGCCTCTGCTCTTAGGAAATGCCAAGGGGAATTATACAACTTGAACTAGTTTGCCATGCTGCTGGGACACTCGTCTGTTACTGATTTCTTCTCTTTTTTTTTTATTAAAAGCATTTCCATTTCCCTTGCTCAGAAACCTCTGAATGTATGTGCACAATTACCAAAATGCCGAGTCATCAGCATCCTACCTATTGAGGAATGTCAGGCTCTGGGACGTGAAAACATTGATCTTGCACAACACTCAGATGAGCTGGGACTTTCTTTGTTGTGAAGTGAGGGTTGTTGTTGTTGTTGTTTTTTTTTCCTTTTTAAAAATTGCTTTTATAGGCCTGACCTTTATAAGACAGTTGTATCTTTTGGTGTTGGGAGTCCTTTGGGATTTTGAATAAACCTTCAATAGCCTTGTTCTTACTTTAAAAAACGAAACACAATATGCTTCTCCTCCTCGCACAACAGTGATGTCGCTTGCATTTGACGTGTGGTCCTGGAAGTGACAGCAGAGTGGCATGCCTGTGCGGAGTACCAGCGAAGACCAGAGCTCTGGGCGGAACAGGGAGATGTTTGTGGCCTCTGTTTCCAACAGAGTGTGGAAGTGATTCAGGCAGAGCCTTCTATGGATGGAAGTGGTCTAGTAGATAAGAGAGGCCTGTCTCCCTGCCATCCTCCTGGAATGTGCCTGGAATTGTGATATAAGGGATGACGGGGTGGAACAGCACAGGTGGGGTGTGTGCAGCCCGTGTCCCACCAGGCAAAGTGGAGGGTTGTCAGGGAGAGATGGTTATTTCTCAGGCCCTGCTCATACTCTCTGCACTGGTTCCAAACTAAGTCGAGGACAAGACCCACCAGGTCAGGGTATGGCGTTCCAGACTCCACTCACACGACAAAGAAGTCACCCTCCTACAGGACTGCCTGCCCCCTTTTCCACAGCAGTTACCCCGAGGAAGCACCATTGACTTAACTTAGCAGCCACCACCCCAGAAGACCACAAAGGGTCTAGCCAAGCCGGAACACATCAGCTTGTTTTCAAGGGACCAGAACCAGAAATGCAATGCATATTCTTCTGCCCAGTACTGCTGCCATTTACGATCACCTGGGTGCTTCACTCTTGTTCTCCATGGCACCATCACTGACCTTAGTCTGTGGTCACTGGAAGAGGGTATGGCCCTCGCATCACCCAGTGGATGAGTAGGGCCCTAGAGACCTGACGCCAGGCTCCCCAGTTTCACATGCTTTAGGTAAACAAAGTCCTGGTGTTCCCTGTGGCCTCCTCCTCAAGTTACTGGGCCAAAGCCCAAAGCCTTTTGGTGCCCTTGATTGTCATTGTATGCTCTCTGACTCTGTCCAGCCACAGCGTTGGAGTGTCCTTCTATCCGCCCCTAGCTTCTTGGAGTAGTCAGCTTCCCCAGGATGATTGTAAGCTGCAAAGGAAAGGCTTTTCAATCCAGGATGATTTGAGAGCTCTGAAATCTTTTTTAAACAAAATTTAGATTCTACATTAAAACTCTTTAAGGGACCCTTAGGTATTGATTCATTCACTCTATACATTTTTATTGAGCACCTGCTCTAGGCCGGGCACAGTGCTATAGGTACTTAGTGGACCACAGTGACCAGGAAAGACAAGATCTCTGCCCTCATGAAATTTAGCATTGAGTTGAGTAGACGTCACAAGTACAAACACGTAATGAATTAAAACTTGTGAAAAGTACTTTGAAGGAATGAACAAGGGACAGTGATAGAAGAAAACAGGGAAATCTTAGGACAGCCAAAGTCTTCAGAGAAGACTTTCAGCTGAGACCTGATGACTGAGACCCAAGGCTGGGGGGTGGGGTGGGGGGAAGGTGGGCAGGAGAAATGGCATCTTCTGAGGTAGTGGGGGCACACTTGCATGATTGAGGGCAGCCGAGCAAGCAGGGGAGGGGAAGAGAGTCCCCAAGATGAGACCAGACAGGAAAGCAGGAGTCAGGTCATGGGGGGGCTTTCGGGGACAAAGCAAGGAGTTTAGGGGTCCTGGTAATTGGGACTTGAGTGGGGACAGAGACAGAGGCCGACCAGCTTACGTTGGACGTGGAGGTGAGAGGGCCTGGTGTGGGGCTGGGGGAGCGGCAGGAGGCGGGGGCGCCCCCCAGGTTTTTGGCAGTAATTGATGGAGTATATGTGAGGGGCACTTCCTGAGAAGGGGCCACTGGAAATAGAACCCCTAATTCTATAATCCTATCAAGGCAGCAATTGTTATGGTTTTAATGAGAAAAATGATGCAGCCTGTTGTTATTTTACCCGTTGCTGGCCAGACAATGGTAACAGCTTGCGGCTAAACAGACCATCAACCCTCAAGGACTCGCTCCAGGTAGATGCTAATCAATTATCTTGACTGGTTGGCACCGTTATCTCAGGAGACAGGACTGAATTCCCGAGGTTCTCCCCTGAAAGCACAAGGAGCAGAAGCTCTGAGGAGCCAGACCCTGCCTCCGAGCCCCTGGACGGAGTCTGTGCTACCAGCGGCCGGCTGCACAGCCCCCTGCCCCGTGGGGAAGGAAATGCGGAGCGGCATTCTCTCCCTCAGGTTTATTCTGTGGTTGAGATTATGTGAGAGTCACCTGAAGAACCTTTCTTCTCTTGATCCAGGGAAGGTGGTTCACATAATCCGTTTTGAAACCAAGCGACGTGGTCTTAACTGAACTTTCCCTAGAAGCAGTTCTTGAAAATGGGAAAACAAGCCAACCAACCCTGACTCGGAACATTTAGGATGCCTGTGGGTTATTCCAGTACCCCCCCCCCACTTAGGCCTAGATAGAGTCTTGCCCTAGACCCACACTTTAGAGGACCCCACTTTGGCCCTCCTCAGTCCTCACCCCACAGAAAGGGTGAGGAACTCCCAGGGCCAGAGCCTGTGTTCTGCCTTCCGGACCACACTTCAGATAGGGGAATCCCGGAATGCCTCCCCTAAACAGCCCTGGGGGAAGGGGACTGGGAAGCCCCGAGGGCAGGGGCTGTTTGTCCCCATACAGCCCTGTTTTATGTTTTCCATTTTAGCAGAAATTCTAAGGAGCTGGACCTTGCCTTCCAGGTTATGATGGTGTAATTGTCAAGGACAAGGATAGAACACATTTTAACAGTTTATTAATGCGACTCAAATAGGTACCCATATAGTCTGTGGGCCTCTGCTTGTCCAGGGTCCTGCCAGTGTTAGGGGAGACCTGAGTCATCCCCGCTAACGTGCCTCACCACGGCAAGGATTGGTCGTATGTGCTGTCAAGCCTAAGGCTTGTAAGTGGAGCTCAGATCCTGGTAGAGGATCCCTCGCTCTGGAGTAGCTATACTCACACTCACAGCACGGTCCTCATCTCCTGCATTAGCCCAAAGACCAGAGCTGAGAAAGGCTGTGGTCCACCTCTGCCCAGCTCCTTGCTGGTGGAGGTTGTGGGGAGCAGGAGGAGCCTGAGCTGAGGGGAGCTCTGAGCCTCTGACGGAAAGGGTGCGGGCCCGGGTCTACCACCCAGTGCTAGCATTGCCCAGAAGTCCTGCCGGCCCTCCGTAAACGCCTCTCTCTCTCTCTCTCTCTCTCCCTCTCTCTCTCTCTCTCTTTCTCCCCCTCCCCCCTCTCCCCCCCCCTCTCTCTCTCCCCCCCCCCCCCTTTCTCCCCACCCACCTCTCCTTGCCTTTTCTCCCTCTCCCCCACCATCTGCAGTAAACCGGTCCCCTTCTCGCTGCAGCGGGTTGAACCGCTCCGAGTCTCCAAACCGTGAGCGCAGTGACTTTGGGGGGAGCAACACCCAGCTGTGCAGCAGCAGCAACAACCTCTACACTCCTGACTACTCAGTGCACATCCTCAGCGATGTGCAGTTTGTGAAGGTAATTCCCCGCCCCCTCCCCCAGGAGGGCCATTGCTCGCCAGCCAGCCAGCCCCGGAGGCCAGGGCGGCGGGAGAGGATGCGCATCCCAGTGCCCTCGGACAGAACGCTGGCTGGTCATTGTTCCCTGGCTTTATAAGGACCCTTAAGATCTCCTGATCCCCATTTCTCCTGTGGGGAGACGGAGGCATAGAGCAATAGGGAATTCGCTTGCCTGAGACAAGTTGCCAGCAGAACTGTTTCCTTTGGATCCCCTGCCATTGGCACCAGGTTGCTTTTTTTTTTTTTCCAAGATAAATTTGCAGGTGATTCGTAAACCAAGTGTCTAAAAGAAACCATGCTATGATTTTAGGTATGAGGTATATTTTTACATCTTACTGTTTCAGGTCTAAAATGCAATTTGGCATGTATGATAACCATTAACCCTTCGTGTAACCGTCCTGCCCTTGGCCATCACTGGGCTGTGTGGGGCTCAGGGGAGCGTCCCTGCGCAGGTGGGAGAAGCAGTGATGCTCATCGCCTTGTAGTTAAAGGGTGGGGGAGCTGTCTCTTCATACTCCTCATTGAGACTGGAATTGCACAGAAACCTAGAATTTCCTCCTTTCTCTTGCTTTGATAGGCTTTATTTTGTTTTGTTTGCTAGCATTCTGCAAACCGTTACATGCTTGGGCCGGAGATCAGGAGTGAGCCCCCTTTCTCCAAGTCCAACTAAACACCCAGTGAGTTCACTTGGTAAATTGCAGGCTGGATTATGAGAGATGTATTAATCACAAAGGTGGGAAGAGGTCCTCTCCCGTCCAGAACACAAGCTCTGATAATTTGAGAGCAGGGTGCGCTGGCTGGTTTTCTGTGTTCCAGAACCTTGCAGACACCCTGAGCTGAAGCTCTTAAGGATGGAAAGTTACCAGAGGCAGGGGCTGAGCCTGGAGGGTGGGGTGGGATAACTGTTTGTAGGGTACTCTGTGCATGTGCTTTATGGCTCCTTTGTCTGAATGATACACTTAGTCTTACCACCACCCTGTGAGGTAGGTAGGTCCTACTGTCATTCACATTTTAGAGATGAAGACATTGGAGCTTGAGGAGTCCAGCGCTGGTGAGTGGCAGAGCCAGGCTTCAGAGTTGGGTCTCTCTGTCTTCAGAGTCCAAGCCCTCAAATCCCTGGGCTTTAGGGAGAGTTGTGGGAAATCAGAGCTGAAGGAGCCCCAAGGAGAAGTGACTTTGGGAACTAACCCAGCAATACTCATGGGTCTATATGACCGGAGACACTTAACAAATCCTGTATGACAATGAAGGTAAAGCCTCAGAAAACTGAAACCTGTGATTCCCCTCCCTGCTTTCAGCCCTGAGGCCCTCTCACTGCAGGCCTTCCTCAGAAGTGGAGGTAGGAAAAATGTGAGCAGAGAAACTATTATGCCAGCTCTTACTGGTTTTGTAGTACTCGTCACATGGTTTGTGGGAAAAGAACTTGAAAGTCACAGTATGAGTAAGTGGCTCAACAATATTGACCGCATGCCTACTCTGTGCTTGTCTAGGCATTGGCAAGAGACTGTGGTGAACAAGACCCTAAGCTCCTGCCTTTCTAGAGCTTCTGTGCTAGGAGGCGGACAGAGAGGATAAACCAGTAACCACAGCGTAAAGAACCTAATTTCAGGTAGTGATAAAGGCTATGAAGGAAACAGGGTCGTGGGATAAACAGGGATTGAGCAGAGTTGGCAAGGAGGCTGCTTGCTTTAGAAATGGTTATCAGAGCGGGCTGAGAAAAGGACATTTTGGCTGGGACCTGAAAGGGCCGGTGGGGAGGACTCAGGAGAGAAACCACGGAGGCAGGAGAGAGCTTGGTGGCTCACGGATCTGAGTACCCGCACACAGTGTGCAAAGACCAAGGCTGATGCGAAATGACAGTGGAGGCTCAGCAGCCGTGTCCTGTGGCATCTTTAGGCCGGCGGGAGCCCCCTGGATTCACTGCAAGTGCGCTGGGAATTTTTGTTAAGTTTGCTTCTCAGGTCTTCCCATTTGTCTTAGTTTGGGTTGCCGTAGCAAATTGTCATAGACTGGGTGACCTCAACAAACACTTACTTCTCACAGTTCTGGAGGTTGGAAGTCCAAGTTCCAGGAACCAGCAGATCCAGTGTCTGGTGAGAGCCCATGTTCTAGTTTGCAAGTAACTGTCTTCTTGTATCTCCACGTGGTGGGAAGAGAGGAACAAGAAGCAAGCTCTCTTCTTAGCAGGACACTAATTCCATCCATGAGGGCTCCACCCTCATGACCTAACTACTTCCAAAGGCCCCACCTCCACCTTTCAGCACGTGGGGGGGTTAGGATTTCAGCGTATGAATTTGGGTGGGGGCACAGGAACGTTCAGTGCCTCACATTGTTTATATAATACGTTTAGGAAATCAGTATGAGGATTTGGCTTGCTGGTCTGGGGAGGAAAGTGAATGAGATTTTGAGGCGTCCTGTTTAATGAGCAACTGTGGTGAGCCCAGAGTTTTCTGGAACATCTCTAGGCGTACATAGATTGGAGAGCACTTTCAGGGGATGGAGGGGGCAGCTCCTCAAAGAGGAATGTTTTAAGATGAACACCTAGCGTGAGGTTTGTAAGGATCTTCTTAAAACTTACAGGTGAGCTCATAGACATCCAGGCCTAGAACATAAGGAAAGGGGACATTCACAGCTAATGAGGAACATTGAAAGGGAAGTGTCTCGCCTGGCGTGAGATGGCGGACGGGTTAAAAACCCCAAACCCGAGGTCAGTCCTCAGGTGCGGGTGTCATCCTCTTGGTCAGGCAAGAGGACCATGCTGTGACCCGGGGCGACTGAGCAGCACAGAACATGGTCCTTTTTCCCACCTCGACATTTTGACATTGAGAAGACTAAATGTCAAAAGAAGTTGAGGGAAGGCTAGAAACCAGTTAAAGTATTATTCAGAAACCTCCTTCAGATCATGGCCCCCATCTCTTAAAAACTTCGATCGTAACAGTTCTATAGAAGGGAACTTTGGGAGTTCAAGCTGTTTGAACGCAAGTGTGTGTTTTGTTGTAGTGCTGGTTTTCTCTTTTGTTTTGTTTTTCTATATGTTAAGATGATGCCTTAGACTAAAGTTAAAAATTTCTTTCTGCTGATAGACTTGTTAGGGCCATTGTTTAGGCTGTCCTTTTATTACCCTCGCCCACCTGCCCCCCACCTTTTTAACAGAGGACGAGCTTTTGAGGAAGCTAAAGAGAAAATTGTGCAAGAAGGCTGGTCTCACAGCCCAAGCCCCTGTGATGGGCTGCAGGAAGATTTTGCAAGGGTTTTTCATGTCCGGCAGACCGAGGTTCCAGAACATTTATTAAGTCCAGGAGTAATTTGACTTCAAGATGAGCTACAAAATTAGATAGAAAGGTGTATCTAATGATTATCTGGGAGAGCTGTTAAAGCTGTGATTAATCATAGTTACTGAATTATGAATGAAGGTACCAAAGCATCCCTATGAATTTTTTAAAATTGTATTTTGTAAATTTCATTGTTAGACTATTTGGCAGATGTCTTACAGTCTGGATTGTGTAACCATGACCAAGATGCCCCATCACCATCTGGTGGCAGAATCCCTAAATTGCAGGATGGTGTTTTGGGGGATGAATGTCGTAATGATAGGAGAGAGAGCCCACTGGTTGAAGGTTAACTTCTGAACACATTGGCTGCGAAGTCAGAATGTCCAGAAGGGCACACTTACTTCTGGTTAGTTTCAAGATAAACAGATCTCCATTTCCTTTGTAATTTAGTGGCTGCTTGAGTTCTTAACTGGCCACGTGCAAGAGAAGACAATTTGAACTCAAACTATTGCTAAGGAATGGTTGTTTCTACAGTAGTAAAGAGAGAATAAAAACACATTGCCTTTTGAGCAGTGGTTTGATTCCCTCAGTGAACCAGTGGGTACGTATTTATCGAACATTAATAATGGTTCTAGACACCATGGTCTCTCTAAAGAAATATAAAACATATCCTCTGCCTTATGAGATTAAAATCTAGTTAGGGAGAAGAAACACAGGATAAGCTGTAGTGACCGATGCAGGGTAGTATCTAATTGATTACGAATTCGTGTGGCACTTATTTGAAGCACGATATTGCTGGAGAACGTAGTAGACGTTTAAGAATTAGGAAAGAGGGGGGACACTGACAAACAGGCATGTGGAAGGCAAGTAGACAGAGTGCATTCGAGGGGCAGTGAAGAAGCAGCTGAGCTGGCCCCGTGGTTCTCTGGGGGCTGTGGGATCACCACTGGCCACGCAAGGCCACATTATCAAAACTGGGCAGAGAGGTTCAGGTTGATCTGCCGGACGTTTGCTATCCAACCCGGGGACCAGCAGCCACATCCACGAGCACACAAAACGTGGCTCGTCCAAACTGATGTGCCACACCTGTAAAATACTGCTGGATTCCAAGAACGTAATACAAAAAAGAATGTACGAGTCCCCATTCATAATTTTATGTTGACTCCATGTTGAAGTGAATTTTTTTTTTTGGATATGTTGGGTTAAAAGAAACATTACTAACATTAATTTCACCTATTTGTTTTTACTTTTTTAATATGACTACGAGAGAATTTTCAATGACCCGTGTGACTCCCGTTCTATTTCTGTTGGACAGTACTGTGCCAGAGAGGAACGAGTTCTCAGGCGGTTGAACAGGGGGAGCAAAGTGACAAAAAGTCATGCTTGAAGCAAAATAAAAACTTAAAAAAGAAGAAGAACTGAAGGGGGAATTAAAAAAAAAAAAAAAGGAACGCTTGAATCTAGAAATGCAGCTGGGGAGAGGTTGTTTCCTGAACACATTTTCTAGAGTGGCGCCTTGTCAACAATTTCTGTGAGGGTGACATGTGGACAGGGCAGTAGTTTATGGTTTTGTTTTGTTTTTTTGTTTTTTTTTTTTAATTTAAAAAGAGGAAGCATTGTGAAAGCAAGGCTGTGAGACCGAGAGAGAAGGTAGCCAGTGGGGCAGTGCCTTTCCTTTTACACAACCATCCACCGCCAGTGTGGGTCCTGCCCCCACACACACCCCCACCCTTGCCCCGGACACTCCCCCCACCCACCGCCACACCCAGAGCCACGCTTCTGCCCTGACAGGGGTCCTGGCTGTGGTCGAATCTTCCCTCTAGCACCATTGACTGGTGGTTATCTAACATCTGTGTGATGCCTCTGGGACAGGGAACTCAGCACCTTGTAAGGAAGGAAGACCAGAAACAGTACTTTATCCCCAGCTCATTTCTTACTCCAGAACCGTGCTTAAAGAGGGTTAGAGTTCCTGGGTCCTTGATTCCAGCTTACTGGAGGATGATCTCACTTCTTCTTAAGAACAAAGAGAGAATGGTACGGCTCACTGTGCCTGCAGCCTGGACAGAACCTTTCCAGAAATAAACTAAATACAGCACTTTGCAACACTCCCCAGAGGCTTCTGGCTTGGGGACCACTGCTAAGGTACCAGCTGACTGGAGCCCTGAGCCCCCAAACCCATTTCAGTCAAACCAGAGCACCCCCCCTTCTCCCTCTCTCTATTTTCCCTCACTCACCAGCTCTCCTCTCTCCCCATCTTCTTCTTCTCATTGTCCCCACTTAGAACCTCCTTCCTTCCCCTACTTTGTCTTTTGCTTTATTTGCTCAGTTAAGAATTTACTTTCCTAAGACCTCGTCCTGCTTTGGCAGCCCCTCCACTCCTACTCCGGGGTCAGAGGCGCCATTGCCCCTGCCCCCACCTCACCTCATACCGTGCCGTCCACAGTTTAGACATAATAAGATGGTAGGTTTGTCCCCTTTCTTTGAAGTGTATGCCCACTATAAAGTTAACTTGTGAGAGATGGGTGTGGACGTGTTTTAAGCTGTCATTTCTAACAGCTGGACGACAGGTTCACTGATGTTACCTCATTATCTCTGGGCCTCTGTTACGGGCTCAGAGAGGTTAATGATTTGGCCAAGGTTGCCCAGCTTGAACGTGGCAAAACTGGGACTAAACTAGAAGCCAAATCTAAACTAACTGGTTAACCCAAAAAGAGTAACATCAAGTGCTTTGTCGAGCTTATCAGGTGTCATTTAGGAAAATTTTCTGTCCTTTAAGCCAGGAGGACCCGCGAGACTCCAAAGCAGGCTTCACCTAGAGGAAGGTTACGGGCACGGTAGAGAATTGGGCTTGATGGTGACACTGGTCCAGGCCGTGTGCCGGCTTCTTGTCACTCATCAGATGCCTGCAGACCCCAAGCCTACAAAGTAGTTATTGGGGCACCTGCCCTAAAGGGTTGTGGAAGCAGCCCCAGTGCAGCCGAGGGACATCCGTTCTCAGAGCGCAGAGCCCAGGCTGAGATGGTTGCCCCTGGGAAGCAAGAGTAAAGGCCTTTAACCCCAAATATCCAGGTTGCAGGGGCACCATTATCAGACTCTGGAGTCTCCCGCTCTGGGAACTTAGAATTCCACCATCTCACGTCCCCTTCCATCTCCCTGGCTCCAAAGAGTGAACAGCACTTTCCCAGGCAAATTGCGCAGCGTAGGAGACCGTGCACTGGCGAGGACTCTGAAAGCTTGCTAACTGTCAAACTTTAGACAATCCCTGGACATTTCGGGACTTCGTTTTCTTATCTGTATGGTGGGGATCCCAAGAGCTCCCATGCCTATCCCACACAGTCTCTACGAGCAGCAAAGGCGATAACACATCCCAGTGCTCTGTGAGCCATAATACGCTCTATGGACGGAAGGTTCTGTCTTCATAGCCCCACCTCCATATCCTCCATTTCCATATCCTGCCAAAGCAAGCTCTTATGGGTGACACTACATCTGAACACCTAATATCGGTCCTGCCTCTTTAGGATATTTATAGCACTTCCAGCAATGTATATGATTTCCCCCCAGAATTAACCCAGGGATGTTTTAAATACGAAATTAAGAAGAAATGGCAAACCAGTTTGGTGAAAAAGCTATCAGGCATGAATTTGTTACTGTCAGTAAATAATTTATCTGTGAGCTTCCTGGCTATAAAAGCAAAGAGCGCAAACACAGGGGGATATTTGGATTCTCATCCGGTGTAAGGAAGAACATCATTTATCTAGAGAAAGGAGCTCTTTCCTGGCAGTAATTTCTGGGAGGGTTTATTAAATGGATTTCTATAGGACTATGGAAGGCATCAGAAAAAAAAGTAATACATGTTGGCTTCATCTGTAGTTTTGCCAGAGTTTCTGTTTTTCATATGGAAGTTTCTTATTTCAGCCCTCGACTCAAGCTGGGGGTCCAGTAGGAAAGTTGAACATCAGTGAAGGCCATAATCAAGGGGAGCCAAGATAATAATTGATTACAGGGGGCATTTCCAAGAGTCCAGAGCTGTGGTTTTCATCCGTGGTGTGCATTGGGATCACCTGGGGAGCTTTAAATGCTCCTGATGTCTGTGCCCCACTCTCAGAGATTTGGGTATAATTGCTTAAGGGTGTTGCCTGAGTATCAGGATATTTTAAAGCTTCCCAAGTGATTCTAATGTGCTGCCAAGGTTGAGAAGCACTGTCCCAGGAGGCATGAATAATTAGCATGTCACTTTGATCCTTTCTCTGAAGCACTGCAAGTCCCTGAACCATCAGCATGGACTGCATCACAGACAGTTGGTGGTGAAATCTCTAACACATGCCTGATGTTCTGTGTGATTGAGTCACGATAAGGTTTAAGACTGAGGGTAGGCTCCAGAGTTGACATCTCCTGGGGACATTTCAGAACCTGACTTCTCTCACTTCCCAACAGAGGGGGCTGCAAAAGTCCACAGTCACATTGACTCTATTGAAGACTTTAGACAGATGCTAAGTGGAGACCCCCCCCATCGTTGCATGCCATAAAACATAGAGCATATCATTTTGACCTGAAAAATATCAACGCCCATTAACGCTTTGTCGCTTTATCCATTTGACTCCTTTAAAGGGGGAAAAAGAAAAACCTGAGCAGGACTGTGTCTGATTTTAACTAGGTCTTAAGTCAGTGGTTCTCAGAGTGTGGTCTCCAAACCAGCCGCATCAGCATCACCTGGGAACTTGTTAGAAATGCAAACTCTCGGGCACCACCCCAGACCTCGTGAATTAGAAACTTGGAGAGTGGGGCCCAGCAGTCTTGTTTTAACAAGCCCTCCAGGTGATTCTGATGCTGAAGTTTGAGAATCACGGTTTTAAACTATCAAGAGAAGTATATCTGTCCCCTCTAATGGACGACAGTATGGCTGTCCCTCTGCATGTGTCTGTCCCATAAGAATCGCAAAAAGACACGCATTCTTAATTGGTGTTTTGTGTTTGGATTAGTTGTGCTTAGAGTTTGCTTGATCCGCATGCAAGATACCCTAAGGTCTGTTAGAGAAGAAAGAATTGATAACGTCCAACGGAGTAATGAGTTCCCAACTTGAGGGAAAATAGAAGATTTCTCTTTATGAAGAGGAAACACTCACTGCCTAAATGGTTGTGGAGGTTAGGTATGTTGGTGAAGATTGTAATTAAACATTTGGGATGAGTACTAAATAATTGTAAAACATTTTGGAGTAATTAGAGGACCATAGGATCTAGAAAATGTAGGAAGACCGTCAGAGGATAATACAGCAGGAAGAATTAACTCACCTACTCAATACAAACGACCGGAGCTACAGCCCGTGCAGAAGAGAAAGGAGGAACGCCAGTGTGTGAGGAAGGCAAGTGGGATGAGCCGCAGGTGAGGAAGAGTCAACCCAGAGCACGTGAGGATGGAGCAGTCTAGGCTTGACTCCAGGCCTTGGGTCTGACCATCACCCACAGCCCCCAGGGAGGCCAGGCGTGGGGCACATCCCAGCGACCAGGGAAAGGAGGGCCTGGAGAACAGGTGCTGAGGAGTGGGCAGGTGCCCAGGGGCCAGAGTCAGAAGAGCCCTTGCCAGATACCAAGCCAGCTTCAAGTCACCTCTGTTCCAACATGGAAATCTTAACCATGCCCTCTCCAGTTTCCAGCCACACACCCTTCCTGTTCCCACATGTAATACCAGTCCTGCCCCTAAAGGAGAGAGGACTATGAGCAGTTTGTAGTTTTGCCAGTCGTCTAAGTAAATGCAATGAAGATGGGAGGAAAACACTGAGGGGGCCGTGGTACGTGGGAAGGATGTAGCACTGTGTGCCATTTTCATTTTTCACCCAGGGCCTTTACTGATTAACAGTATCATGTTTCTATATTGGGTGGTGCAAAAACCAGCCCGTTTTTACTGGAAACAAGGATATCAGGCAGACGTACACCCAGGGAACGGGGATGACCGATAAACCTTCCGTATTCCAGAAAAGACATTTGATCCATACTTTTCCTGCCTGGAATTCTGGAAGTTCCCTTCGGGCCTGGCTAAGCCTGACTCTCTAGATGCTTTTACTTGTAGGTGAGGCTTGACACATCAGGAAAATCACGAGGAAGACTCCCGTGATCTGAGGAGACAACTGGGAGACCTCTGCTGTGCATTTTTCCCACATAGGAGCATGAGCCCACATCCAGCCCAAGTCCAAATCAGAAAGGCCTGCGTGCTCTCGGGCCTCAGCCTCCAGCTTCCTGACGGGCGGACCTGGAACAGCAGAACTTCCCTCCCCATAGTCCCCGCCGACTGACCCTTGGGAAGAGGGCCCTTGGCAATAGTACCAGCATGCCTTTAAAACTTTGCACTGGGCAACTACCCTGCTAACTGAAGGTACCCTCCATCCTCTCCCGAGTCTCGGGAGAAGGTATGGCTCCTCCAGGTGCACTGAGGAGCCCAGAGCCAATAAAAAAGAGAGTGCTGACGCAGTGTCTCTCAACTGCCAGGCTGGTACAGCTTGGGAAAGGACCCAGCTCATGGATCCTAGAGCACAGAGGTCAGGGGTTCCAACTCACCCCGGTAGAGTTGCTTCCGAGCTCGGAGAAGTAGACCACATCCAGAGAGGGCTCTGCCCCGCTCCTCTTGAGCTTCCTCCCCCTGTGCCTCTTTCTTCTAGATCACACGGCAGCAGTACCAGAATGCACTGACCGCCTGCCGCATGGACAGCTCACCCCAGTCCCCTGACATGGAGGCCTTCGCTGACGGAGACGCCACCAAAGCCCCTGCGACCCGGGGTACCCCCCAGACCCCCAAGGATGACCGTGCCATCACCCTCCTGAGCAACAGGAACAGCCTGCCCTGTAAGTCGGGCGGGTGGGCTGCGCTGCCATCCCGAGCCAGCTGGAGTCTCGGGTCTTCTCCAGAGCAGACTGATCACACACTTGCTGTCCTCCACAGGCAGCCGCTCAGATGGGCTGAGAAGCGCTGGCGAGGTCGTGGACCTGAGGATGGAGGAGATGGCCTTCGCCCAGGAGGACGTGAGGGGCCTCGAGGAGCGGAGCACACAGCAGCTCTTGCTGTCTTCTGCAGCCGTTCCCACCACAGCAGGTCAGGGAGGAGGTCGGGGTCCTCGCCATCGGGCGCTGGGATGGCCCGGGGAGAACCGGGCGAGGGACTCCAGCCCCCCTGTGCTATTTCCCACCTCCAAACACAGCGAGCGAGGGAAGGGGAACTCCCGCGTAGAGAGCACCAGCCCCTCATCGGGCGCGTCGCTCCATTCTCCCAGGAAGACGATGTGTCAGGCAGGGTCAGGAGCAGGTTTCCACCTGGATTCAGATCCTTGCAATTTTCTATTTCCTGACCTTAATAGGTAAGTTTCTTCCTTATGTTAAGAGATATAGGTTATCAAGTAGCTTTGCACATAAATGAGAGAGCAAATACAGAGGGTAGCTCACAGTGCTTGGTACCATGCTCTGGGCATAGTAGGTGGTTTTCATGAGACCAACCTACAGATGAGGAAACTGAAGTCAGTCGTCACTCTTACTGGCAGGGCTCTTCCCTTCCTTTGGGCCGGACGTGATCTGTAGGACTTGTCCTGAGCTCTGAGATCATATCACCTCCCTCTGAGACTTGCAACACTTCCATCTTGCCAGTGGTATTGCTCTGAGCTCCCAGTGTCCCACCAGTCCTGAGATCCTCCTGTACTTGCCTCACTGAGATCTACTCCAAGCCTTCAGCCGTGCCTATGTTCCCCCCAACCCCCCACAAGGCAGCAGTTACCCCAGCTGGCCTCCTAGACCCGCTCCAGTCCATAGTCTGAGACCCCTCAAGTCCAGAGCAATGACCCAGCAAGCGCTCATCCATTTTTGTGGTCAGTAAGACAACATATTTGAGCTTGTGGCTAACTCAGAGTATCTGGGACATACATCACCATTCCAGGAATATAGAACAGATGTTCTTTTTCTCCCTCACACACTGAATTTAGTAGCTAAAGCATGTAGCCAGAAATTGTATCAAAGGAATAAGAATGGAGAACATAGTCTTTGGAGTTCAGCTCGTCCATCATCCTTGTGTGACACAGGGGGCCTTGCGTGAGGACCCTGAGGTCCGGAGAAGGGGCTTGTGTGGTCTACATACTGGCATTGGAAGCAGGCACCCCCAAAAGTGTCCACAACCCCACCCTGCCTCCCAGGTCGGGCTCTTACCTCACGGGCATTAAGGGCCTGGGCCTCTTCCTGGCCTTGAGATTCTGTGCCTGTCTGAATCCCCACTGGGTTTGGCGGGAGAAGATAGAGACGTGTGCTTAGTTGTTACTGAGTCCTGTGATTTCCCAGGTCTGAGCAAGTATTGGAAGGAAATATCCCCATCCCCAGAGTCCTCAAATGTGCTTTTGGTCTGGCAAAGATACTGAACAGAGAACATCTTGTCCTCTTCACCTCTCTCCTGCCAAATAATGTTTGGGTAGTTGGAGTCTCACTTCTGATCTTTTTGTTCCTTTTGTGACACTAAAATGTCCCTTGCTAGTTAACGAGAGCCCACAGGGACCTGGGCACCCCTCCCTGTTACGGCCACCACGGCCTCGCCTCTGGTTCTGAACTGCCACCTGCTGAGGAGCGTCAACCAGAATCACCCTTCCTAGATCCCTGGGTGTTGGCAGGACTTGAATTCTTTCTTCTCTCCTTTTTCTCAGCATCAGATAGTGAATGCTGTAATATCAACCTGGACACAGAGACCAGCCCCTGCAGTAGCGACTTTGAGGAAACCTTGGGCAAGAAGCTGCTGAGAACCTTGAGTGAGTAGCTCTTCACCCAGATGAAAGCTTCCCACCACCTGGTTACTAGAAAAAGCATGTTAGGACATCACTCCTGGAGGAGGAACCATGCACTCCTTATGGGAACCTGATGAGAGACACCCGTGAAAACCCATAACAGGGCTTGGGCCGGTACTGTGCCCTTGACAGTTTGGGGATGTGTCCCATTGAGTTGGTGGTTGTCTAGGACCGGAGTCTGCAAGCCATGATCATGGCCAAAGCCTGACCTCCCTCTCCTGCCTGTTCTTGTAAATAAAGACTGACTGGATGGTCGACCCATTTGTTATCTTTGGCCATAATGGCAGCGTTGAGCAGTTGCAACGGAGGCCAGATGGCCTGCGAAACCTCTAAGATTTACTATCTGGTCCTTTAAAGAAAGAATTTGTGTCCAGGAGACATCAGTAGAAAGGAAAGCAATATCCTTCATGGAAGGAAGTCGATAGCAGGAAGAACAAGGTGAAAAATACTCCTTCCTGAAAACAATAGAGCTAGGGACAGGCAGCCCCTCCATCCTTGAGGACAATTATGTGATTACCCCACCTGCCCCATTGCAGAAGGAAGATTGTTTCCAAGCTACAGAATGTAGATCCGTGGGCATGGCTCCCAGCTATACCCACCAAAACCCTGGCTCATGGAACATCAAAGCCTGGGAGACCAATCCTCTCTCAGGGGTCCGACCATGAGTTGGGCCAGGGCCTTCAGGGGACGGAGAGATGATCCTGAGGCATTACATGGGCTTTACTCAATCCTCCAGGGCGGGGGCTGGGTGGGGGGAGGGGGAGGCGGATCTCCATTCCACCGACACCAGCCTGGCTTTTTGGAGATGTTACCTCAGGTAGAAGGTGTTGCCCTAATCCTTCCAGATGTACATATGCCAGTATTTGCACCAGGATTCCATGCAGATTACTTCCTGCCAAACTGTCAAGGGCTTTGTCTGCATTTCTGCTTTTTCCCCGGCCAGAGATTGACCCTTACAAATTGTTTTCCAGGTGGTCGAAAACAGAAGAGGTCACCCGATGGAGAGAGAGCCTCTGAGGAGAACTCCAATTTAATGCCTCTGATCACATGATGGGGCAGACAGTGCTTGCTGGGTATGTGAGATTCAGCGTTGAGGGAGAACCCACCCTCCCATCTTCTGCGTCTCCCGAGGCCTCCCACAGGTGACAGAGCATTCTGCTTTCCTTACCACCTCCTCAACCCTCGCTGTCAGTTTGGCAGATTTCCCCTTGTTGCCTCCAGTTTGACTCAGAGCCTTGCTGTGGCCATTATGGATGGAGGTGCCTCCAATGGAACATGCTAGAAATGGTCTTCTCCACAGTACAATCTGGGACTGGAGAAGAAATGACCCCAAGCTGACTATGCCACTTTGGGCCCCTGACCCCCTTTTTGTTCTTTGGGATCCCCTGATGCCATATTTCATGCTTCGCTCAGCTCAGAAGGCGCCTCGGACAGGCACAGAGGCCGTGGGGTGGCAGGTGTCAAGGTTAGTGCAGGAGATTCACTGAGACTGCCTCCAGGACTTGAGGCAGTGGGACCCAGCTGCGTTGGCATGGGACGGTACAGAACAGAAAACTGTTGGTGACCGGTTTCCTGTTAGAGAAGGGTTCTAGCAGCCAGGGAAGTGTGTCTCGGCTGGAATGGAAAGACCGTGAGATGGAACCTCAAGTCACCGTTTTTTCCCAGGGACACATCTTTCTGGCTCCTGATCAGCAGTTCTCGATCCAACAATAAATCTGCTCTGGAAGAGGAGGAGCAGAGAGCAGAGACCCAGTTGGGAGCGAGAGATGGAACTTCAGGTTTTAAGTTGAAATCAAAGCAAGCAAGCAAACAAAAACTTACGTAGAAAAATTCTAAGCTGTTAAAGCAAGTTTAGCCATGACAAACCAAAGAGTGCCCAGGTCAGCCAAGAAGGACGCAAGCTCTCGTGGGACTTCAGTGTCCATTACACAGGGGCACTGAAGAATCGCCCTTCTTTTTCATCTGATCCCGCCACACTACCCCTCCCCTTTCTCCTCCTCCCCAGCAGGTCAGCTAAGTGTACTTCAGTCCATGAACTTCTAGGTCTTTTTTCACCTGGATGTTGGAGCAGATGCAATTCCAAGTATGGCCACCAGATGGCAGAATGACTCCATACCTGCTTCGAGAATAAACCAGATCACTAAACCACATAGCCGACCAACCTTCAGGAAAATGTGGGAGTAAGTGAAGGTTGTCTTTGGGACACCTGTCTCCCTTTCTGTCTCCCATCTCTTGAGTTCCGTCTATCAGGGATCCAGTGATCCCATTCTGCCTGCTCAATCTCCAAACCATTCCCAAAACCTTTCACTGGGATATTCTATTCCAGGCTTACCTTGCTTTACCCCCAAAGCATTAATCTCACACCCCCACACCCATTCATTCAATAATCACAAGGGGAGAGGGGGAGACTGATAATTCCTCTGGGTCATTTGCATCTCGAAAGAAAATGCTAACCCAAAGGAACCTTTAACTCAGGGGTTCTTAATTTGGGGGTTAGTCACCCCAGGTGGGTCCATTATTGGACTTCAGAGGGTCTGTGAAACCCCTCATACTGTCAGAGTTTAGTGTATGTGTTCTTATATGTGTTGTCCGGAGGGCTAAAGCTTTCGTAAGATTCTCAAAGGTCTCAGACTCACAAAGTGTTAAGAAACCACTATTTTAGCTAGTGGAACTTTTCAGCCCAAAGTTTCTGCAGTGCAGAGTGAAGTGACTAGGGGGCAGTTCGAGACAGACTTTGAGAGACAGGCGGTCTTCTATCATACCGATGGGGAAAGCTGACACCCGCCAGGAAGTGAAGGGCTTCAGAAATCCTTGGCATACCCCAGGGTGTGTTACCATACCCCTACGTAACTTTGTCCCCTCTTCCCCACCAAACCAGAGCAGGTGTCGCAGATGGGAGGGCCGCAGCACGTGGAAGGAAAGACTTTCCAGCTGGAGATGCTCTTTCCAGCAATGGATGATTGACTTCCTCCCCCTTGCCTGGTTCTGCCTGAGGCTTAGCAGTGCATGACCCCTTGAGAAGCCCACAGCTGCCACCCATCCCCAACACCTACTCCTGCCTCCTAGGAAGAGGCCAAGTGTCAGCCCTCCGTGCCGGGCACCTGAGACCCAAACCAGCCAACAGTGAGTTTCAAGCAAGAACTGTCATCATGCAGTCTTCTTGCCCGGCTGGCCACTGGTCCAGTGGGGCCTGCCTGGCTAGTCTCCCTTTCATTATCCCTCAGGCCACGGGGCTCAGGCCACTGCTGTTGTGTTACATCCATCCCTTTGCAAAATCCCAAAGGAGCCTGTCACCACTCCCCTCCCTATTCCCTGCTCCGTTCCCCGAGATTTTCTTCAGGTTAAAAAAAAAAGATTTTAAAATAAAGCATTTATGAAGGCTTAATAAATTGTAAATAATTTTTTAAATAAAATGAAAATGCTTTTCCTGGAATGTTTTTCTTGCCCCTGGGAGAGCTCAGTTCTAAAGGGGTTTCACATGGGAGATGAAGGCTGGGTGGGGCATGAGGAATTGTCTCAGCTGAGGCCCACCTGCTCAAGATGGAGGCTCTCAAGGCCAGGTGTGAGGCTGCAGTTAAGGTTACAGGAAAGCCCTGGCGCTCTACTCTGGGCGCCGGATGGGTAAGGTTTTGCTGCAGCGAATGTCAGCAATGAAGTCAAACCCAAAAAGCAATGAGAAGCCAGTGTGAATGAGAACAAGAAGTATGAAGTCGGTAATGAGAAGGGCTGGCATTTGTTGAACCCACATGATGGGCGAGGCACGGGGCTGGGTGCCTTCCAAGTTCAAGGTCTTGGGGGCCAGCCCCTGAGACAATGTGCTGGGCACACTGCCTCGCTTCTGCAGACCCTTTGGAGAGGAACCGAAGTGGCACAGCTCCAGCGGGAGCTGGGAAAGGTCACGGGGGGTGGGCCAGGCATATTGGTCAATGGTAAGCCAACCAGTTCCACTGGGAGGCAACAGCCAGACAGGTGAGGAGGTGTGTTTGGGCATCTAACGTCTTTGTGGAAGGAAGGTTGGAATTTGACACTTACTAGGGGTTTCTCAAACCCCCACCAAGGTCAAGGTCAATGAGTGGCCTAGGGACAACTACAGATTCCTCCCAGGGGCCTCCAGAGTTGGCTACCCTTACTAACAACAATCATAAATGACAGTAGCAACTGTTTGGGTGTAGGCTTTCTGTGCCAAGCACTGTGCTAGGATACATTTGCTCGTTTCTGTCTCAAGACCACCTTGTGAAGTTTAGTTTACAAAACGGGCTCTGAGTCATTAAGTGGCTTGCTCAAGGTTACACAGCCAGGAAGTGGCAAGAGTCTGGAGGTGGGAGTGCCCCTCCTCCTGAGGAGACAGTCCTGCCTCTGAAATTCGAAGTGTGCACCTCCATGAGAGGCCCTGAGAAGTCCGATTACGGTAAAGAAATCTGTGGAACTCACGCTTTCTCACGTGAGCATGGAGGGGACTAGAACATGGAGGGGAACACCAACCTATGTGTCAGGATAGAAGGAGGGCCCAATTCCCCTTGATTGGGGCTTTTTTTTAACACAAAAAAATATTTTAGCACTTTGGTAGGGACATTTTGATTTAAAGAAGTGTTTTTAACCATTTTTTTTTACTCGTGACTTCCCCCAAGAGAAAAATTAAATTCTCCCTAACAAGAGAAATGAAATACTAAGAACTGAGGCTTTGTGGGTAGATCTGCACTTTGGGGGGCCACACATCATTTTACTGTCTCAGACTTCTTTTGCCCCCTTGGAGATACTGTCACCTCTTAGTTTTTTCTTATCAACTAGCAAATCCCTCTAGAGCACTCATTTTAAACTGCGGCTTACAACCCATTAGTGGATTGCAAAATCAATTCCATGGGTCTCAATCAACTTTCATTTCTTTAGTGAAACAGAACCCAATAGGACAAAAACCATCAGACACACTGCTCACAGCAAGGGTATATACTGCTGTGTCAAACTTCCACTTCAGGTGTGTGTGTGTGTGAGAGAGGGTGTGCGTGCGTGCGTGTGTGAACTGTAAATCTCTCTCTGACCTTGCTTGCCCCAAACAACTAAAGCTTGGGGCTAGGGACACATCCATGCAGAACGAGCAGGAGACAGACACTCTGGGTAGAGATGACAAGCTTTAATGACACAGCCAACACTCACAATCACAGTTGGCTCTTCAGACAACTTGATCTTTGGGGCAAGATTTTGTGCAGAGTTAAGCAACCCAGAAGCCCAGGAGCGACAGAGGCAACATTCTGGCTTCCAGTGAGGGAGCAAGGTAACTACGTCTCATGATCAAAGTACCTTTTTATTCTTCTTAAATAAAAACCTTAATTTGCTCCAGCCTCCCAAGGGGCTCTGATCCCAGGCCCCCATTTCTTCACAAGGATGCTGTCCTCGTGTGGAGCCGCCTTAAATGGAAGCCACCTCACTAGGGCAGATTCTAGTCCTCCGGAGTCTCTATCCGTGGTACACACAGCGAGGCTGGCGCAGGCGGGGAACACGCAAGACAGAGGGCCGCTTTGGTGGTGCTGGTTTGGGTGGTGTTTCTTCACTGAACTTTGGTGACTGCTTCGTGGATGGAGGTGGCCACGTAATCCAGATTTTTCGTGGTTAAGCCACACATGTTGATCCGACCACTTGGCAGCAGATAGATGTGCTTTTCGTTGACCAGATATTCAACCTGCTTGGCTGTTGAAAACCAAAAGAAATAGGATGAGAGTAGTAGGCATCCTCTCAGCAATGGGGGTTCAGAGATTCCATGACATTTGCCGTTTTCCTTCTTTCCCCCAACACAGAGAAGCAAAATAAAAGTTTTTTTATTCAATTCAAAAACACAGGGAATTATGCTTCATTGATTCTTACTTCTAATCCCCAGAAAGCTTAATATGGCTGCTCCCAATGGGAAATTGTAATGTGGGACTACCTCCCAACGGAAGCTTGCATGGTACCTTCACCGGGACACCCTTTTAAAACAAGCCTCAGACTTAAGAACATTCCACTGGTATGAAAACAACTAGTTTGAAGTGCTTCTTTTAGCTCTTCCTTAACCCCTGGAAGGAAGGGGGTTTGCTTCTCCCCAAACACACAGCAGCAAACTCCCTTTGACGTTTCCTTCTCACAGCACATCGTCCAAGGCCCCGTGCTAGAGGTAGTGGGTAAGTGCTGTGTGCATGACCCCGTAGGCTGAGATACTGCCAAGGCCCCTGTAACCTGGCACTTCTCAGGTCCCTCATTCACACACACACAGGAGGGCTATCCCGCGTGTTTGCAGAAATGCTCATGCAGGAAATTGGAAGGGACTGCCTGTCCTTCCCTTATGCCACAGTCTCTAGAGATTTTTGGTTTATTGCAAAGCCATGAGACAATTTTATTTGATTTTTGCCTAAATAATTAGCACCCTTAATTAGCACTATTGATTTGAAGGAATGGGTAATTGTCATGGACTGGATGTTTGTGTCCCATCAAAATTTCTAGGTTGAAACCCTAACCTCTAACGTGACGGTATTAGGGGCTGGGGCCTTTGGCAGGTAATGAGGTAGGTCTGGATGACGCCCGGAGAGTAGAGCCCCTGTGCTGGCAGGAGTGCCCTTATGAGAGACTAGGGAGCTGGTATGTGTGTGCCTGTGCTCTCTCTCCCTTTCCCGTACCCCCAGCATGGGAGGACACAGCAAGAAGGCAGCTAGCCGCGGTGCCTGCGTGGCTCAGTTGGTTAAGCGACCGCCTTCAGTTCAGGTCATGATCCTGGAGTCCCAGGATCGAGTCCCACATTGGGCTCCCCACTCAGCGGGGAATCTGCTTCTCCCTCTGACCTTCCCCCGTCTCGTGCTCTCTATCTCATTCTCTCTCAAATAAATAAATAAATAAATCTTAAAAAAAAAAAAAAGGCAGCTAGCCACAAACTCGAAGAGAGCCCCCACAGGAACTGACCACGCTGGCCCCCTGATCTCAGACTGCCCGGCCTCCAGGACGCTGAGAAAAAAAATGTCTGTTGTTGAAGCCAGCTAGGCCATGGTGTTATGTCACAGCAGCCCAAACTCAGATGGTAATAAAATCTTAATAACCAGAGGAGCAGAGGGAGGTAAGATGGTGGAAGAGTAGGGGTCCTCGTTTCATCTGGTCCCTTGAGTTTAGCTAGATGACTATCAAATCATTCTGAACACCTATGAATTCAACCTGAGATGTAAGAAAAGAACTGCTGGAATTCTACAAATAGAAAGGCGATCACTTTTTGCAAGGTCGGAGGTATGAAGTGAATCGGAGGGGATTAATCGGAAGATAATCGGCAGGGAAGGGAGCCTCTGGAAGCTGGCTACTGGAAAGTGATATAGCCCTGGAGCGCAAAATTGGAACTTTTAGAAGGCTGCTCTGGTGAGAGACATCCCTGCCTGAAAGGTGCTCAGTTGGCCAAGAGGGGCAGAATCCTAGGTGAGACAGTATGGTCTCAGGATCCCCGGGGTCACGGAAAGAACGGGGGTGCCTGAGTCACTCCAATACTCAGGAGACTGGCTATGGTCAGTGAGCCCAGGAGTGGGTGCTCAGCTTGGTTTGCTATAAAGCAGGAACGGGTGACTGCTCTCTGTCCAGGGGCCCTGCAGGCAGCAGGCCCTCGGCAACCCTCCTCCCTCCCCCAGGAGGATCGGTGTGGGTGCACACTGCAGGAGTCTGCAGAGTTTGACGCACACAAAAGTGAAGACTGCATTTCCCTGAGAGTTTACTGAAGAGAGAGGTCCTTGATCTTTCAGCTCTGGGGCTGGAGATCAGGGTGCGGCCATTTTTATTTTCAGCCTCTGAATCGGCTTGGAAAGCCTTCAGGGAAGAAAAGCCACATAGAAGAACCTGAAGCAGCTTACACTGAGCCTGGCCTCCTGGCAAGGGGTGGTATAACTCTGCCCAGGCAAAGACACCCGAGAATCAGCACAG